CAGGAGGACTCTATCTTGGAGATAGCTAATCCGTTATCATCTTTCCAGATAGAGCCATACCAGAATTTGGTAGATTGGGGCACTTCATTTTCTGAAAGTGCTATCGAAATTTCCGCAAGTGATAACAATATTTCTGAATCAGTATCAAACCCTCTTCCCCCAAGCGACAATATTCCTACAATCGATCTGCTAGACTGGAATATGCTTTCTTCTGGAATGACTTTCGAAGAATCGGTTTCAAATCCGCTTCCACCCTTATACCACGGAGCAATGCCATTTCCGGTTGATCTATCAGCCTCAGATCTCTCGTAATATGATTCCAGAAATTATTTGAACACCTTATCCAATGGAATACTTCAAGTCCGTCACATGCTCAATAATAATAACACGGCCAACCCTCCCGCTTTCCCAGAGAAAGTTATTCTCTCATGACCATCCAGACTCATATCCTGCCCACTTTTCATTTCGCAAAAAAGCCCATTATCGAGACCGAGTTTTCCTAGTGCAATCCAAACTATGATCTTCGTTCGATCATCTGGAGACATTCCCTGGATCATGGTACCTTGGCGTGGCATTTCAGCTGTTGATATCAGGAACCACTGCAACAAATGCTCCCTCGGATCGGGGTATATTGGTCGTTTTATTTGAAAATTTTTTGCTACTCTCTCGATATTTGACCGCTTCTGTACATAATTAGAGATGTTGACGATAGAATGATGTGAGGGCCTAACCTTGAACCATTCTACAACCACGCGTTCGACAGATTTGTTCGCTTGCAGAATACGAAAGGGATAGTATTTCCCTGTCTGATCCAAATTCTGTGAGGTCAAATCCTGTCCTGAATTTCGGACCGCCTGCTCGGCTTCATCTGAGATTGCCGAGCTAACTGCTTCCTGAATATCTCTGGTCTTCAACTTTTCTTCGGACTCATAGTTGGTAGATTGGGTTTCTATTGCCCGTTGTATTTCATGATTTGATGACATTGTGCTTTTCAAGATTTTAAAACCGTTGGTCAAAGAATTCTACCAAATATTTGGAAGTAGCCATTTTCCGTAGGCGGGGCTTATTGCGCGGGGCTTTCCATCACATGATGTAACCGAGATTAGGCTGGTGGCACGTGATTGTCGGGCAACAAGAATCCACTGCTACATACTCCGTAAAACAATATTCAAAGTACTCACATGCAAGGGAGATCTAGTTTGGGACTAAGCATTGAAACCTAAAGTATAGTGGTCTCGTATAGTGTGGCGTACGCTATGCAGTCACTGTATCCTTGATCTTAGATCTTATTGAATACACCCTGCTATCGAGAAATAGAATTTCCTCCGTCTCTGCCCATAATTTGCATGATCGCAAAGGTAATTGGTGATAATCAAAGCAGGTAATAAGTATAATTTTTTCCCTGATTCTATCTGATCGTGTTGGTCTTCTCAAAAACTAATAGCAACTCTTCCTACATTGGAGAGGGTAATCCAACTAAAGAGAGAAATGTTATAATACCATATGCGCAGACCAAAGCCGTATATCAATCTAATTTTTATTAGTGTCAGATTTCCAAACTCCCTAACTCGGGTTGTCGACGAGATTCTCCTATAAACGTTGAAAGTTATCTCGTACATCTTTGACTCTGCACATCAACCATTCGTCGAATTACTATCTAATAAAAATCTACTGCTAGTACATGATGCTCTTTATTAGTTCGCCAGAATGCTAATAAAATGATTCAAATTAAGGCTTTTTCAAAAGCATTTCAGAAAGAACAGATTCGTTGACTTTTTTTAGAGTGGCTATGCTCTCTATACAAATCTATTTTGGCCTGGCATTGTGACTTAAAATTTCAATAAATGTGACAAGTACTTGAGGTATATAATATATACCCTGCTGATAAATAAAAAAATCACTTTCATTTACAAAGACTTCTAGGAAAATTCCCCATAATAATGTTGGGAAAAATTTGGAATTTCTTTAAGTCCAATTTGGTCTGCTTTACGGGAGAGGATACAGACGACTGTAAGATAGTTAGAATGTTGATCAAGAGGGTTCCTGCTAACTAAAAAGCTATTACAGTAACCTCTTTTGAAGTTCCCGACTGATTGAGCTCCTATGCTGCTTTTAGGCGTCAACATGGAGAAGAGATTCCTCTACCTTATCGTCCTCATTATGTCATAACCTCCTCAGTGCCAGATTCCTCGGCTACCTTGTTTCCTCTTCTGCAGGCTCATATTCAGACTTCTCAGCAAAACCACAGTGACGAAGCGTGGATACCGAACAGTGAAGTCATTGTTCTTCCTTCACCACCATTTCCTTCTCACATTCAGAGTTGGATCCTTTTTTTGGGTTCCAAGTAAGCTTCACTCCTATAATATTCAGTGATTTTTTTTTAAATCTTTATAGAGAAAATATTTGGATTGGTACTGAGGGAAATGGTTCTGGCGCTTTGAGCGTAATCAGCACTCGGCGTTAGTTTTTAGACTGGATACGTTTTCTCGTATTTCGATTTTTTGTTTCTTTTTTCTAGCTGTTCATATTTTCGCTGTTAAAGATTCCGAAATCAATTTGGCAGGTTGTGTAAAAAGTATCGACTTTAATGGGCGTTGAATTTAGGAAGGAACAAGAATGAAATTGGGACAAACATCAACGTTGTGAAGACTAGAAAATTCTTTCTATTTTTCTCATATCTAATGGAATTTTCTTATCAAGTGACACGGAATAGCAATTCTTCCCCTATATCAATCCTATAATTGGCAATTAGAATGATCATCTACTCTGGCTTTATCATCCAACTCATCCCAAGTCCACTACCAGACGTTATCCATCTATAAGGAATATCAATATACTAAGACACTCAAGATGTATATATTTCTTGATTATTTTCTCGAATACCTAGGGACATCGATACCTTGGTTAGTCCTGTGGTGGTTTCTGCTCATCATCTCTGTTCTTCCCACCTATTGGTTCCGTCCACGATCACGCACAGGAACAATTAGGTACGAAGTTCCAAGATCAAATTTTTCATTATTAGCTTTTTGACATTAATTTCAGGTTTCAAATGCCTTTTTCAAATTTCCGAATTACAAATCACCGCAACGAAGGCCTACTCCCCGCCTATCAAATTCCCGAGCAGCCATGAAATTTTATTCCTTAATTCAGTCTCTGATGAAAAAAAAATGGAAGTGAAAACGATCTTTAGAAATTGCATATGGACCCTTGAAAACCGTGAACATCCAAGTTGATCAACATACCAGTATATTAGAAATCTATGCTCCTTCTCCTTACTAGGAGACAAATGCACTATTCCACATCCAGCACTACCTGGTTATAGATGCAAGTCTTTTATAAGAATCATATGCGGCCTTTCTGTTCATGATAGTCATAGATCTAGATTGATCGTCTAAGCCGTCAAAGCATAAAAGGGCCAATTAAGCTTGATATCCAATGGCTTAGCTATCCATGCAGAAAATGTAAGACGTGTGTGGGAAAAGTGGCAAGTATGTTCCTTCTAGAGTCTGGTGAAATACTACCCGGCTGATAAACACAAGGCAAAACTTGCCATGGATTCTCGATTCAAGGGTACAAGAACTGCGAAGATGCTCGCGGCGACAAAATCTTGCAGAAGGAAATTTAGATTCCATATCCGAGGAGCTCCGAAACCCACTGCAGGTACAAGTGGAATAATGGGTCTCCGGACCTTGCAAGATGAATGACTGTGTCAAGTGCAACACTCACTTGAGTTGATCTATGCTGCTAGCATCAATCGACAACAAGAAGTGAATGACTACAATTATTGAGATTATGCTGAAATATTACAGCTTGTTGTTTAATGAGAAATTTCGCAAGACGAATAACTTTTGAGGTCCGAGTCTGTCATGTAGTAGTGCCTTAGCCTAGATCCTTCCGACTTTCACATCAATTCTGATTCTAGGCTCATCCAACTCATCAGTAGCCAAAAATTCTATCTAGCCACCCGGCTCTTTGAAATACTAGGCTATCTAACAATCACATGGTCGGTCATCGGTCCATTTGATTATGTCAAATAGACTGTGACTGGCTGGCCAATCATTCAAATGACACAAATGAATGAAACTGAATTTTCTAACTAGAACGTAATCTGGCTTAAATACACACCTAAAAATGGGTTCCAAACCACTTCCTTTGACAGATTGGCCTGATGATATGACAACCTGATTGGTTCGGTAAAAGTGGGGAATGGGATCTAGTCGAATGGGATCTAGTCTTTCATCAACACTTCTTACACACTCTTCGCAGCTACACTTAACGTGAAGAGAGCATATACATCCTATAAGACTTCAAATACTTACCGACACACATAATTTATTAGCTCTCTCCGTCATTACAGCAGGGATGTACTTGGGTGGAGCATCTATGTCGTTGAGTTTCGCTCGATTTTACAAAACATATTAGATCATAGAGGTTTTTTTTAATGATCTCGTTTCAGCCCAAAACGCTCATATAACAGAGATGAAATCAAATTTCCGGATACCCAAGTCCATCTTTTCTCCAGCTAGTGCTCCAATAACTCATCAGCTTTCTCTGTTGTTGATAAGAAACACGGGCTCTCAACTATTTATTCCCTTGTGGTATTTTTCTTCGTACCCAATCCCATCTTCAAATATGGAAGAAGTGCATCGAGCCAAAAGAGAGCGCTGTGCCTGTAAAAGCTGCGTTGAAAGTGGAGGGAGTGCTAAAAATATATGTCAATATGTCCCTCGGAAGCTTACCCAGCATCTTGAGAGTTCTTATAAAGTACTCGACGGAAAGGCATCGCTCTACACCCCATATGAGCAACTGCTAGAAGTTCTTCCATCCGCTCTTGTGATTGAAAACTTGATTCAAGAATATTTTACAAATTTCTCTATGGTATGGGTTACGCTGTTAAAAAACTCAAAATTTTTTTTGCACTAACGAAGAGGTAGTTTTTTTGCGTCATCGATACCGCCACCTTCGAAGCCGAATATGAAAAGTTCTGCCTTCAACCGAATATGGCGACTACCTCTTGGCTCTGCTTGCTTCTTGCCATTTTAGCAATAGCTTGTCTAGCAGAGGATGATCATTTGTCGATGCGGTACGGGGATGTCGCCTTGCGCTATCTATTCCTTAACGACCTGCCGATTGAACCATCAATACACTCACTAAAAGCAATGATACTCATCATCTATAGTCGCGTGCACGATGGAGAGAATGTCTTGCGCTATCTGGACCTAGCTCATCATATGGCAAATTCTATCGAACTTTTCATCCGTACGAGTGATCCGATAGTATGCGAGGAATATAGCCATCTTCTGATTGGCCTGAAAGCGCTTTACATCCTCAATACTCAAATTCACGACTCTAACCACCACCGGGATCTCACGCGATATAGTAAGATACACGATTTTATATACAACGACATTTATATAGGATCCAGATTATCACCAAGGGCCGAGGTGTCATCTCTGACGCAAATGACTTTCACAATCCTAAACTTTGATCTTTTGATTATATCAGACGCAATTTGTCTGGAAATAGAACAGGATCTGGTTCCGGAACAGAAACTTGCTGGATTTGAAACTAAGCTAAAGTACATGTGGCAACAGTGCAACAAACTTTATGCTGAGGTTAACGGCTCTGATTTGAAGTTGGAATCTCATCGAGTCGGCCATCATTTACTTCGATACCATATCTGCTATCTCATGCATCTTCTCTTCTTACCTCATCTACAGCGATGCTTAGAGGGTGACATCAGGCCTAGAACAAGATCATTTTCATTCAAGTGCACTATATTTGGCATGAAGACTTTACAAATGTTCATTTCTTTGGCTATGAACAAAAATTGTCAACAGTATGCTAGGTATATCCGATGTCTCGGAAGCTACTATGCCTTCAGGTCAGCTGATACTGTTCGAGGAGCTTATAAAAAGCTTCAGAGTAGAGAGAAGCAGCAAGAGGCCAGGTTCCTACTAAACCGCACCTACAAAATATTCTCTGAGACTCCAAACCGCACTCCTTTCTTCTCTGCTCCACCTACCGACGTCTCTGCTGTGGCCGAATCTCCATCCTCTACAAATCAGCGCAGTTCCCACTTAGAGGAAGTCTCATCGAGCTTGCAGACGAAAAGATATATACTGGCTCAACAACAGCTTCGAAAAGACCACACTCCGGCTGCTGATGCAGGAGAGCGTCGCTCAACACGACTAAGCGTTATAAAACCCCCAGAAAAGCAGGGTTCGGATCATCCATACTCATACTGGGTCTATCAGGCTTTGAGCTCTAGCTTTCAAAAGGGAATGCCAATTCAGGAAATCTATACCTGGCTTGAAAAGCGTGTGTATCATACAAGGGGCGACAAGGGATGGAAAAATAGTATCCGCCATAACCTGTCCATGAACTCTGTACGTTGCCTATTACTATTGATTCTAAGAGTTTTACGCCTAGCTTATCTTGAGAGATTGTCCACTAATCTATCAAACTGTTTTGTTCTCGTCTTATAGGGCTTCAAAATCATCCGAATGGAGAAAGCCGGCAAAAGGACCGTCGGCTGTTGGGGCCTTACAGAAGAGGCAATCAAAAATGGCAAAGTTCAGCCAACCACCCGCTATCGAAATGTCACCTAGTATGCCTTTTGAAAACTTGTCTACTCAACCACAAGGAGGCTGTTCTTACTACAAGTATTGGACTATGTGCCAGAATTTGCTTTGAGCACTGCTATGGATAATTTCTCTTCTTCTTTTCTTTTTTGAATTTGTTCCGCTGTCGAAACCCATGACTACTTAATCATATGGCTCTTTGGTTTTGATCCGTCTATCTGCATATATTCTCCTGGTGATAGCGTATATTTACTTAGGTTGATTAAATTCAAGCAAAAAGATTAAGTAAAAAATCAAATCAAAAGAAGTGAGACCAGCTCACACATCTTGAGGGTCTTAAAGATGATAACAAAAACCTTAAGAATCGAATCAATAGAAGTCCGCTACTGTCAAATAGTGGCTCAAAAGAATAGTGTCAGCGCCGTTGGGTTCCCATGCATCAAACTTCGAAGTGGTCGCCACTGTGGTTTGGCTGCCTCCCCTTTCAGTTAGATGCTTCCTCTCTCGTAAGATCTTTGATCCTTTGTTGAAGCATATGGATTTCATTTGAATTTTTTCCCTCGAGGGGTTTTGACTATCAATTTATCGAACAAAAGCCTTAGTTTGTGGATAGGCTACACCCCGTGCTGGCTAAAGAGTTAAGAGAGGATCGATATTATTTTATAAATCCTCTCTACCTTTCTGAAACCAATTTTAACCGTAATCCTTCAACATTTCATAGCATGAAATGAGCGTGATCCACCGCTCAAGACGTAAGTAGATCATGTTCATAGATATCATGGATAGAATGGATAGAATTACACTTACACTCTTCTTACTTAATTCCTAAGCATGAAACAGAAGTGCGCTAACCTAGTATAGAAATGTGATGTTACTGTCGTAGGATATGGGTGACTTCCTTTACACGTGTATTCGTAAGAACTGCAGTTGTAGAGATGATGTGAAGTGTAGATTCTACTACTGCTAATTAGACATGTTCATTGGGTTGGGTAAACCCATACCCAACCCAACCCAACCCACAATGGGCTGGGTATGGGTCAGAAATTTTACCCAAAACCCATATGGGTTGGGTATGGGTTTGAAGTAAAACCCACACCCAGCCCATAAACCCATCTTTTTGCCAAGACTTTTATTTCACGTGATATTTGTCACCTAGTTAGTACTAGATTGAGGCAAAAATTAGGCACTAAGGCACTGATTACCCTAATTTAGTTTAGGTTGAGGCGAAAATCAGGCATTAAGGCATCAAAAATACCCATATGGGACCCATACCCAACCCATACCCACGTGGGTTGGGTTGGGTATGGGTATGGGTTTACCTTACCCCTGATGGGTTGGGTATGGGTATGAATTTTGACCCATACCCAACCCATGCACATGTCTACTGCTAACTGAAACTAAAGAAGATCTCTGCCCCACTTATTTGGAGGCTGTGTCCAATGGGAGTCGCTGGTGGAATCATCCAATCAGGAAGGATGATTCCGACTTCCCATATTTGGACAGTTACTCCACTTCCAGACCGCTTTTAGGACGGGATTCTGATTTACAGCGTGGGTCGATTTCAGTTTCAACTCAGCCTCATCCCGTGTGAATAATCGATCAGTCCAAAGTACCACCTCAGTGATTAGGCGCCACTGCTGAAAAAAATACATAGTCAGGTGCACCCGGGATTTCACCCAAGTTTTCCCTCTGAAGCGCTATCAACCATGCTGATTATATCCCATCCCTGTTGCATTAGCGGCAATAGCGTATGTGATAACACGAGAAAACTGGAGCCCGTGCTCAAGCTGCACTTTCAAATTGAGTTTTCTCAGATTATTTCTAGTCATTTCATATCATCAAACGCAAATTTCTACTGCAGCAGGAATGGGATTTGATATAGTACAATACGAGATAACAAGAGCCGGCACTCAAAGTCTGCGCAGTGGCCGAAGCGATAACACCACCTAATGATTTTCTAATAATTTTCTAATATTCAAGAATTTATGCAGTATGGTAATGTTTCAGGAGGTATACCACTGTCGAATAGCCTTCAACTTTGAAGGGATATTTTCTCACATGCATTATCTTAGTCTCTTTACAAATTCTTACTCTCTAAACAGCTCAGCTACACAGAATTTCTATCATACGCCAAGACGCTCAGACTAATACGAACTAGCCAGGGCTCATAAAGTATTTCACCACTGAACGGGTCACACTACTGAACGGGTCACCCCACCAATTTTACGCGTCAGTCTGGTGTTTCCATTTTCAACTACCCACCATGCCCCCCTAAATGCTCTATATGTCCAAGACAAACAGGATCAGGAGAATAGGGTCTTATTAGCTTACCAAGCTTACAAGAATGGCGATATATCATCAATGCGTAAAGCTGCAGCTATGTTTAATATACCATTTTCAACCCTCCAACGCCGCCATTCTGGTGTCCAATTTCGTCTTGAAACACACCCACCGCAGTCTAAACTGACTGAATCTGAAGAGGATTCATTACTTCAATGGGTCGTCTCTCTAGATGATCGCGGCTGTGCTCCTAGAACTAAAGATGTTGGTAGAATGGCTAATATCCTACTCGCCGACCGCGGAACCAACCCTCCTCTTACGATCGGTAAAAACTGGGTTACTAGGTTTGCGACGCGTTTACCTGAACTTAAGACGACCTATTCAACACCGCGCGATTTTACACGTGCGCGTCAAGAGGACTATAATGTGATCAATAATTGGTTCAAACTGGTTGAAAACACGATCGCAAAATATGGTATCACCACCGACGATATCTATAATTTTGACGAGACTGGGTTTGCGATGGGACGATGTGCGACCGCGAGAGTGGTTACTAGAGCTGGTTATTATGGTAAACGCGCAAAAAAACAGCCTGGTAACCGGGAATGGGTTACTGTGATAGAGTGTTTAGGCGCGTCTGGTTACGCACCTCCACCCTGTATTATCTTTAAGGGTAAGGTGATGATGCAGAGCTGGTTTGCTCCTGATCTAGGTTTACCACCTAATTGGCGTCTTGAGATTAGTCCTAATGGCTGGACATCAAATCAAATAGGGCTCCGTTGGCTTGAAAAGCTCTTTATACCTGCTACTGCTCGTACTAAAGGACGGTATCGCCTTCTGATCTTAGATGGCCATGGTAGCCATTTAACACCTGATTTCGACAAAATCTGCCAGGAGCATGATATTATACCATTATGTATGCCTGCGCATGCGTCTCATCTTCTTCAACCTCTTGATGTTGGGTGTTTTGCGGTGTTAAAACGCTCTTATTCTCGGCTGGTTGAGTCTAGAGTAGAGCTTGGTTTTTCCCACATTAGTAAAGGAGATTTCCTAGAGATATATCCTACTGCGCGTATTGAAGCATTTGCATCTGCTTCTAATGCGTTTGCTGCAACTGGAATCGTGCCACTTGACCCTACTAGGGTGTTAAAAAAGCTTACTATGCGCGTCGATACACCACCACCACCACCCTCTATAGGAAGCGATTCAAGTCGAAATTGGACACCTAAGACGCCTAGGACGCAGAAAGATTTACGACGTCAACACCAAGCTATATTACGCACTGTATCTCGAACGCCACCAACACCATCTAAGAGAGCATTAGACCAGATAGTAAAGGGTGCAAATTACCTATATCAAGAGAATGCTCTCTTACGCCTGGAAAACAGAGATTTACGCGCCGCCCATGAGAAAAAGAAAAAACAAAAAGAACGTCCGAATCGTCAATTAACAGTAGTAGGGGTGTCACGGGGCGGGCAGGTGAATAGAATTATACTAGAACTGGACAGACAGTATTGCATTGACTGACAGGCTAAGACGAAGACGTAGCTTGAAGAGCTATATTCAGACAAGGTTCTGAGTTTACATGAGGTTGCGGGTCACGTGGCCCGCACTATCTAATCAATCAGTAGTCGTCTGAGCTGGCACCGTGACAGTATCCCCCTCCTTAGAGCCGAGCTCTGTAGAGGCGTAGATAGGACCTGGCTTGGACGGGTAGCGGAGGTGGAAGTTCTTCACTAACTGTCCATAATTTTCTAGGTGAGCAGCAGGCTCTTTAGTTGGGTCATCGTAACCGGTCCACTTAACCATGTATTTTAGACGTGGTGTTCCCCGGCGACCACGTTTCTCCCAGCGGGAGTCTAGGATCTCCTCTACCTCCTACTCGTCGATTCCGTCGACTTCGACAGGTGGGGCAGGTTCTTGTTGCTGCGTAGGAAGCGGGTTGTTGTTGGTAGGGCGTAATAAGGAGATGTTAAATACTAGGTGGATCATCATTCCAGGGGGAAGCTGTAAACGGCAGGCGTACGGGCTTAGAACTTCGGTGATTTCGAAGGGGCCTAAGTTCTTCTAGTCTAATTTCTTCTAGGGGCGACGGGTCTTGATATTCCGGGCGTCTAACCAGACTTTCTGTCCTTTAGTGAATGTTCGGGCAGGCTGGCGGTGACGGTTGGCGAATTCTTCGTGGCGAGCTTAGGCGGCCAGGATCTAGGCTTATATAAAGTTTGTGATCTCCTCTATATAAGCCGCGAACCTCTCTATATCGTGGGCGGCGGGGTGATTACTTAGGCGGACAGGCTCGAATCCAACGACTAGGTGTTGGCTGTAATTAGCAAAGAACGGGGTGACGCCAGTCGACTCGCTTTATACAGAGTTAGAGGCGAATTCGGCTAGCGGAAGCTAGTTAGCCTAGTCGTCCTATAGGTAGTTTATATAGGCTCGGAGGTACTGTTCCAGGATAGTATTAGCTCGCTCGGTCTATCCATCTATTTCCGGGTGAAAGGTAGTAGATAGCAGGCTCTTAGTCTTTAGGCGGGTCGTCAGGTGTTTCCAGAACTAGCTTATAAACTAGGGGCCTCTATCAGATACAATTATATAAGGGAGTCTATATAGCTTCTAGACGTGTTTTAAGAACAGGCAGGCGAGGTCTTCAGCGTTATAGGTCCTATAGCAGGCCAGGAAGTGTTTTATTTTAGTTAAGCGGCAGACTACTACCAAGATTGCGTTAAATCCTTGGCTCTCGGGCAGGT